TAAATCGTATTATTACATAATAAAATATTTGATTGAGTATTTTAAAGTAAACATGATATTAAATTACGATTTTATCTAAAACAGTATAAATTAATTTCAGGAACGAATAAAAGTTTTAAATAATTATTTTCCAATTGAATATAACTACCGACGTTGTCTCATTTTTGCAATTAATTGATGAGACATAATAGCTGCATCACACGTAAAAAGAAGACCGATGATAGCATACGACATCGAGCCAACCATCAGTTCATGCTTATTGAAATCTTTATGAATTTGTAATAAAAAATAAGATGACATTAAACATCCTATAATAACTAATGTATCGCCAAGAACCATCTGAAATGTCATTAACATCTGATTAGACAAAAACTTAAACACAGGGAATTAATCAAGTAAATATAAAATAGTTGTAGAAAAATCAACTTGCCACTTTTTTAGAGATAGGTTCTTTAATAGCTTGTCCAACAATCTTTAATAAACTAAAAAATATGCAAATATACACTACTATTTGCGTTAATATTACTTTTTTAAACCACTTAGGTTGGCCTAATTGAAGTCGCATTAACTGAAAAATATCTTCTGGGTGATTATTTGTGAATCCTGCCATCCCCATTGCTAAAATTACTGGGAACACCTAGAAAAAATCATAATTCATAAATAAAAGGTAATATTTATTAATTTTTTTTTTCATAATGTATTACTAAATTATTACAAGTAATAAATATATTAAATAAAAATTATATTAAGACTGACACTAAAAATACAGTGAGATTATTTAATATGGCTCACGCAGTATATTTTAAAATATAACACAATTTTTCTTTTCGGAAGTTAAAAATATCCTACGTGCTACAATTTTCAATAAAATTTTTCCCTATTCTCCTCTTTCCTCCTTAAAATTGTATTCATTTCTTATAAATTGAAATAACAAAAGAAGTTGTAAACCAACTTATGAGCTAGAAAATTATCTATTTAACAAAATGACACATTGATAATAACTTTTGGACTAGTAATTTGGAAGTTATTAACTTTTTAATATAATAACTGGAGATAAACGCGGATCCATTTATTTTTATCTCTTGGCATTAATAAACTGCTCTACTCTTCCGGCCTTATAAAAAT